CATGAGTATCACTCCTATATCATCGTCCGAGTCTCCAAATAAAATGACAACACGATCGCAAGTTCGATCAAGTAATACCAGTTTAAATTCATCGATGGAAACAGACATTAGTAATAAACGTGAACGACAAAAGAAATCACAATCAACTCCACGCATATCTGGTTCGTTTTTCCTCAGTCATCAATTGACAGTTTTGATCGTTTCGTTTTTATCTTTTGCAGAAATTATCGAAAATATAATCAACGTGTTTAAACTTCTTGGCCAAGGCCTTCAATACTTATCCCAATTTGAATGTCGACAAGCAATTGAATTATTCGAGTCGATATCTCTGAAGCATCTCAATACACCTTGGGCTCTATTACGATTAGCCAATTGCTATTATCATTTACATGATTATCAAAAATCCTCTCTGATCTATCGAGAATTGCGTACAAAATATCCATATCACATTGACGGACTAGAATATTATAGTACTGTCCTCTGGCATTTGAAAGACGATATTGCTCTGGCAACGTTAGCACACGAATTAACTGAAACTGATCGAAAGCATCCAGCTGTAAGTCATTCTCAGGAAATCTCTGATAGGATATCTGTGACTTTTTGTTTTCCTAACTTCAGAGTTGGTGTGCGTCGGGCAATTGTCTAAGTTTGAATCATGAATATGATAAAGCAATTCAAGCATTTAAACGTGCCATTCAACTAGCACCTGAGTCTGATTATGCATACACACTATTAGGCAATGAATATTCTCTCATCGATGAACTTGAGCGAGCAATGGCTTGCTTTCGCAAAGCTATACAACTGAATCCACGGAGTTACAAAGCTTGGTGAGTCTGCTGACGTGATTTTACTGGTCAATTGTTACTTCTGCTCGAATAGGAATGGTGTAGCGATGATTTATTTGAAACAAGAAAAATTTCAATCAGCTGCATTTCATTTCACGAAAGCTACGAGTATATATCGTACCAATCCGGATCTAATTTGTCACTTAGCAGTGGTAACGATACTTTTTATTTGTCATGTGTATTTTCTCTGATGAGGAAAATTCGTTTAGGCACAACATAAATGTAATCAATCCGCTGATGCACTAGCATTATTGAATGATGCATTGAAAATTGATTCGAAGAATGCACTGTGTAAATTTCACAAGTGAGTAAAATACTTTCTGGGAAAAGAATGATTTATTTGAGGAAATTTTTGTTTTTTAGAGCTGGTCTTCTATTACACCTCGAGCGGTATCACGAAGCATTGAGTGAACTTGAAGAATTGCGGCAAATTGCGCCGAAAGAGTCCCTTGTTTACTATTTACTTAGTAAAGTAAGCGAAGTTTTCATTCATTCATTCATTCATTCATTCATTCACGTTAATTCGTTCAGGTTCATCGACATTTGAAGAACTTCCATTACTCATATATGTACATGTCATGGAGTATGGATCTCGACCCTAAAGGTAAAACAAAGTTGTCTATCGTCGACCATTTTCATACGACAGTCCTGTTTGTTTTTCCAAGGTGCTAACAATCAGTTGAAAGAAAATGCCGATAAACTCTATTCGAAAGATGAAGATCTTCTCCTCGGTATGGAAGACATCGCTTCGTCAGTAACCGAAGATGATAATAGTCAAATGCAATCTCAAAGTTCACTTCAAGATATTCAACCGATGGATTCAAGTGAAGAAATTCTTTAAAAACGAATCCATCTCTTTCTCGCTCGCACACACGCAGATGACTATCCAACGAGTTCATGTGTATATATTCTTGTATTTGTTAAATCAAAGAGCCAACGCTGTTACTCAGGTGTATGTTTATCTCTTTACCTACTTTATTCATTCTCTAGTATATCGAGATCAATTCTCTATTGAATAGCATATCTAATCAATTAGACTTCTGCTTTTTCTTCTTCTTCTCCTCCTCCTTTTCCTTTCTTTCTATTTATCAGACACGAACAATGTCTAATCTGTTATACTAAACAATAGAAAACGAATCCTTAACAGATGATCAACGCGTGTTTTCTGTTCTTCTGTTTCCTTTCTCTCTTCCATTATCAAATGAATAACAAAAATAAAAAAGTATATATATTGCATGTAAAATCAAGGATTAGTTCTATTTCGATACGAAATATCAACGGAGAATGTTTCGAATCATCATTGTCCTATGCGCAGGTAAGTCATCGTTCGATAGCTTTGCAGTAGAATGTCTCCAATACTTTAGTTTTCAACTCTCTTCACTGTGTAACTGTTCGATTCAATTTGAAACAGTTACCGAGATTCTATACGCCATTGAATGATAAGATTTTCTTAGCTGGATCATTTAATCAGTGGATACCGAATGATCAACGATATGAATTCAATAGTATTACGAAATCGTTAACAATTGATCTGCCGCAATCGACTACGGTAGAATTCAAGATAACAAGAGGAAGTTGGTCCACAACCGAAACCTGGGCAGATGGAACAGCACGAGCAAATCGAAAGTTAACAACAGTATGTGAAAATGAGTCCCAATCGAGGTCATCTAGTTCTAATCATTTTTCAAATATTTCTATTCTGACATCGAATAACCATTAAGAGGATTTTCTATTTAATCTTTAGTCAAACAATCTTCAATCAATTGATGTTTCTATTGAGCAATGGTTGGATACAGCTGGCCGTGTTCACACTGCTACGAATCAAGTTTACATCTTAGATTCGAACTTTTCCATGTGGAATCATCTTCCACGCACACGTCGTATCTGGATTTACCTTCCTCGAAGTTATTCCACTGATCTCAATCGACGCTATCCAGTGATTTACGCGCACGATGCTCAAAACTTGTTCGATGCCAGCACATCATTTTCCGGCGAATGGGGTGTAGACGAAAGTTTGGATAATTTCTCCCAAGAAATGATCGTTGTCGGTATTGACAACGGAGGCTCTGAACGGTTGAATGAATTAACACCATACCCAAATGCAAAATACGGTGGCGGCCAAGCAAATCTTTATTTGGATTTCATTGTTGACAAACTTCGTCCTTATATCAACAGCCGTTTTCGAACGAAACCCGAACGTGAGAATACTGCTATCTTAGGTAGTTCACTTGGTGGTCTGTGTAGTTTCTATGCCGGTGTTCGACATGAAGATATCTTTGGATTGATTGGCATCTTCAGTCCATCGTTCTGGTTTTCTGATGATATTTATACTTACGCTGCAAAGCATACGTTCCGAGGTTCTCCGCCACGACTTTATTTTGTCGGGGGTCAATTGGAGAGTTCGACAATGGTTAGTGATGTGCAACGAATGATCAATGTTCTGCAAAATACAACCATTGAGTATAAACAAAATCCTTCTAAGGTAAAACTTGTCGTTGCTGCTGACGGTCAACACCAAGAATGGTTTTGGAGACGCGAATTTCCTACAGCTATCAAATGGTTATTTCCATAATCCTGACTCATCATTTCATAAAAATAAATTAACAATCTGATCTAATATTTCTTCTTATCGCATATCATTCGAAAACAACATATGTATTCTTAGAAAGAAATATCAGTTTTTTTTCGCTGGCTTCCCGTCTAATCCTTATCATATAGAAGAAAAGAAACTAACGATTCTATTAAAACAGATTTAAAAAAAGCGAGCAAATTAAATATTATCTTGTACTGAGATATAGCTATCGAGTACTTCGTAACCGTTTCTACCAGTGTCGACTTTCAAGCAACTGCTTTCACAACAATTTGTGTAAGTCACCGTTCCACCGAAAAGACTAGTTCCTAGACTCTCCTCCGTTTGATTCACTCACGACCTCTAGACTCTTTCCATTCCGATTGGTGTCTCTTTTTAAACTAATCAATCATCGAAGGATAGTGTTGTTATGCTGTCTATGTTGTTGTTGTTGTTATTATTATTATTTTTCCTCATCCGTGAGCTTATAATTAATTAACTGAAGCACTAGTTGAGAAATCATGACTAGATCCCTACTTTCCTTTTTCGTTTTTCTTATTGTAAACGTCTAATCAACCGTAAGTTTTCACTGGATATTGCTCTCCTTGCAGGAGATGGTCTTATTTCTAATCGTTGAATAACATGTTATTAACTTATCGGAAATGAGCTCAAATCGCCTTAGAAAGTTTCCTTTATTTTTAATTAGTTAAGACGTAAATCAGTTTTCAAGGCAAAAAAAGAACTTTGCCGAGCCACTGTGTTGACTCCGTACGTTAGTGATTCATTCGAAAGGGTAGAAAAATAACATCTTTTGAGTACCCCTGGATGGCTGACAGGTCATTACTCCAACCTTTCAGTAGCTAAACGTTCGCCGATCACGTGTCAGTCCAATATTGACGGGTATGTTGTACAATTAGCATAGGAGAAAAACGTAGAGTATGGAGGAAAGAAAAATTGTCGTTTGTATGTTCGAAAAGAATGAAAAAACATCAGTACGCTATTAGTAGTTGTTTGATGAGAAAAAGAGAGTAGTGCGTGCCGAAAAAGAAAAGAAATAACCGCTTGTATATTTCATGACAAACAAATTTGGATGAATATTTTTTGTTAACGACGACCAGCCACTGATCAGCTTGCGAGATGCTTTCACAAATACTCGATGTTATTTTCTCAAGTATTTAGACTTTTTTCGTTAGAGAAAGATAAATGTATGCATGAATGTTGTTTTTTCTTCAATATAATAATGAATTATTAATTAGCAATTGTTACTTACGTATTCTCATCCTTTTGAAGAAGAGAAAAAACTGACAGGCTTACATTAGAGTAGAGAAAAAAACAACTTTGTCGACAACTTCAGGCACTTATTACATTTGTTCACGCAGAGAAGTAAGGAAATTCAAGTAAGTAGACTTTATTGATAGTTCGATTACGACGTCAGACACTGTTTTGTTGCCTTCGTTTGCAAAACATCAGGAACATATTTATGAAGTTTACTTTTGTAATTTCTGTGAACTTCAGTCTCGTATACTTTTGTCTGTCACGTATTTGCATCGTGACGGGAGATGAATATTTTATTATTTTATCGTTCAATGTTTGACCCGTTGTTCTTGCCATATGTTGTACGATACGATTGTTCTATTTTAGATACAAATACAAGTGATAGTTTGCTTCTAACGGTAGGATTTTTTTATTTTTAGAAAACCAACGAGTTATTTCTGCTTTTGTTTGCGTCGATTCAGATGAGCAGTCCGTAGAGAAGCGTTGTTTGGATGGCTATGGTTCTTCAAGCGAATCGTGCAACAACTGGCAATAGCAGCACGGTTCCTATGGATTCTTATAATCAGCTGCATGAGTCAAACAATCAAGAAGACAGTTTCCATCGCAAGATATTTGATAAGATCGAAGAAGCGAAACAATCTCGAAATGTTGAAAAGTGCCAACAGATACTTGATGATTTTCTCAAACTGCTCAAACATTTGACAACAGATGTGAATAATTACAATCTAGCGTTTCGTGAAACACGACCCTCATTCTATATGCAGGTAAATCAATTTAACTGATGAAATTTTCGGCACGTTTAATACTTCTTCTTCCAGGAATTTCAAAGATTAACTGATCGAATTGATACATTAACAAAAGCGCGAGATACACTAACGGAATATCTTCGTGAACTACAAAGTCAAACAATCGATACAAATCTCCCTTATTCGTCATCATTTAATGATGTTTCGACAATGCATAGTCAATTTCAACAACAGTTACAATATTCTCCCACCATGTCTCACTCTCCGCGTTCGTCTCCATCGGAAAAATCTCATCATCAGCATACATCATCCATTTCTTCAACACATTCGAACTCAAAAGATAGTTCTCATAATGAACATTCAACTCCCAACGAGCATCACTCAACTCAACGACCGCGTAGTCCAACTATGATGTCAAACAACTTTATCCGCGTTCATTTTCCGAATAAACACACAACTGCAGTAAATGAACTAGTTTTTATATTTATTTCCATCGCTTTGAATTTTCTAGCTTGCGCCGCGTACTGATGAAACACTTGAAACGGCACTTCAATTACGCGCTTCAAGACATTCGGTGACTAATATACGTGCATATACGCCAGTCTATATGATATCAAGGTATTTCATAAAACTTACTCGTTTTTTTTCGGACTAAAATCAACATATGTGCATAGACAACCGTGCCCTTGGGATATCACTCTCGATCGTCTACAAGAAACAGAAATCGAACTCGAAGAAAAACCAAATTTTGATCATTCATTCGTAAGTACTCTGTTCTGAGTTTGGAAAATCCATTGAAAAGATTTTCATCGACAACATCTCTTTTCGCTTATGTAGATACGAAAAAGATTTTTTACTCTCACCTATTGTGACAGTTGTCATAAAATCCTCTTGCAAGGACTCCGATGTCTTGTATGTGGCTCTCGTATACACACCCGATGTATACATAAATTACATATATGTACCATTGTTAGACGAGATTTCTATCGGTATTTGATTTGTTGTCTGCTTTCGGATATATCTTGTCTATATGTCGTCCAGCTTTTCGTCTATGTGTTCATCTAGGAAACGCTTCCATCGCCTCGTTTTCGTGCATTTATGGGTGTACGTTGTGTGTTTTGTCATCATCGTATTCGTGAAATGTATAAACGTTGTGTTTCATGTGGCAATACTTATCATAATCAGTGTTGTATCAAAGCACCTGTTTGTTCTCATCCGATTCTTCAGTATGATGTCAATCTATTGATGGTTTCGATGTTCTTTTGAATCGATCTCTATCGTAGACATATTAAACATCTTGGTCCTGATCGTTTTAACGTCGATCGACCAAATGTTCAAGCACGAAACAAGGAACAATCGCGTAGCTTGCCACGCATTCCACTACCCGTAAGAAATAACTTTAAAAAATACATTGGAAACTTTCATTCTTCGTCGTCTTATAGAGACAAGGCATTGCAATAAACCAAGGAGTCGGTATGTACGATGCATTCGATTATTTGCCACTTTGATTTCGTTTCTTTCTCTCTCTCGCTCTATCCATCCATATTCCATATTTGGCTGTCTTTGCAGATATAGCTGCATATGCGGTGTAGGTAGATCTATGCGGTTTTCGCTTTATTTCGATGAAAAGAAGTGCATTCAATTTCTCATGGTTTATATTTTGTTTCCTTTCACATGCTTTCCCTTCCGTTTTTCCCTCCTACAATAAACACATTTGTACCTTGACAGGTCCACAAAAGGACATTAGTCAAGATTCACTCCCAACAACAACAACATCAAATGTTGGCACCACTCCAACTGCTACTCTATCGACGATCAATATATCGTCATCACCATCATCGAACACACTTTTTCAACCGTCTACAACACTTCTGTCATCATCGTTGCCGTCAGCCGAATCACTCATACTTCACATTCCTCAGTTATTACTGAGTAAGACTTCCGAACGTGATTTGATTAGCTACACTGATTAACATCGATCATCACTTTCTTCTTCTTCTTCTTCTTCTTGTTTTGATTGTTACTTGCAAGTTACACCTGTAAAACAAACTTTTAACCTTTTGTTTTCTTATTCATTGTAGTGGCCAATGGATCGATTGTAACTAATCCGGAGAAGCTTCGACCGAGTTTGGTCAAGCCAAATAGTGACCTTCTTGCGGACGCAAAGAAAGCCTCACCTGTAAGTGTGATTTTGCCTTTTTTCGCTTAACAGAAACAACAATATTCATGTTCATTCATTTCGCTAGAAATATGTCAGTGAATGGAAAATTCGACCGGAAGATTTACTTGACCATGGCCGAATGGTTGGTAAAGGTACTTATGGAACTGTATATAAAGCTCAAGTGAGATTACATGGTAAGAAGTGATACTAAATTGAAGAGGGACGTCGGATCATCATTGAATGTTTCTCGAAATAGGTGATGTGGCCTTGAAAGAGTTGAATTTCGTGTCACCGACTCCGAGTCAATTTCAAGCATTTCGTAATGAAGTTTTTGCACTAAAGTTTGTATCTCCGTTTCGCTGACACATATTCGACATTGCATACTGGAATTATTTAGAAAAATTACACACCAGAATACATTGAACTTCTATGGATATATCGTTTCACCTCGTTTCGCCATTGTAACACAATGGTGTGATGTAAGATCGAGATCAAGTCTTTTGTTCTCACGCTTGTTTGATGACTTTTCTTTGACAAGGGCTCAACATTGTATAAACATATTCACATTCTCGATCGACATTGGAAAATCAATCAACTCATTGATATTGCTCGACAAATTTGTCAAGGAATGTCGTAAGTGCTACGAAGCAAACTCATAGACAGGACCGGACAATGTTTCTCATAGATATCTACATGATCGCGGCATTATTCATCGAGATTTGAAGTCAAGCAACGTCTTTCTTGATATGTGTGCTGAACCTGACGATGCGGGCGTTTGTTGGCGCGTTAAGATTGGAGATTTTGGCTTGGCAGCTGTTAAAACCGTTCTTGCCGAAGGTGTTAATCAACAATTTCAGCCTACGGGCTCAGTTTTATGGATGGTAAATTCTATTTTGTTCTTCGAGATAATTTTTTGTGCTGTAACTGCTTTGTCTCGTAGGCACCTGAAGTTATTCAACAGAAAGATCCTAATTGTTACTCAACTAGCTCGGATGTATATGCGTACGGATGTGTTTTATTTGAAATGTTTAGCGGAAAACTACCACACGCGCCAATCAATAACAAAGAACAGGTTAGTTGTGTTGAGAAACGACCTTGAGATGATTTTCGTCTTTAGATAATGTGGCTTGTTGGCAAAGGTAAATTGAAAATCAAAGTTGATGAATGTCGTGATGATACACCGGAAGCAATAACAGATTTAATACGTCAATGCACAGAATTTGACCGAGAACAACGACCGGATTTTGCACCTGAAGTACATTGTCATATAAAATATTTGTGTGGATAAAACTTGTGCTTTCTATCTTAGATTGATGATGTTTTATCAAAATTTGAATTCATATTTCCACGCACACAACGTTCACAATCAGAGCCATGTTTAATTCGTAATCCTCAAGATGATTTACTCGGTCTGTCGATCAATTTCGGCGTGCCCAAAACTCCCGTATCCATTCAACGACGATTCAACGCTGACGTTTCATGACAGATTCGATCGATCCAAACTCTTTCGCATCTACATATATAAATGCATTCCTAAACGATTTATTTTAACATAACAAACTTTTTATTCGTTTTGGATTTTATTTTTTTGTAAAATAGTCTCGTTCTATTCCTTCTACTTGTCTTTTCTCTCGATGGAACTAAGCGAAAGAATAAAAACAACGATTTATTGTTTCGCTTTATATTTGTAAGACAGTGAATGAATCTTTTCTTGTATGTCTATTGTTTTCTTCTGTCACCGATTAAAATAACGTGTACATTTTATTCATGGATACGAAAAGTAAACACGACGGAAATTCAATCGGGCGATGTTCACTCAAAGGCACACGGCCTCTCATTCATGCTTCGTTTCTCTAGAAGACTCTTTCCGGTCGAACTCCTGAAGGATGTCTCCTTGATATAGCATCTGCTGAAGGTCATGATAGTGTCTAGCGCCATCTATTGTGCAAAAATATATCATTGTTTTTCTTTGTTAAATATGCTTTTATGAAGCCACGGCTCGCAATTCTTCCAATGTTTGCCTTGCTTTATGTGACTTTTCTCGTCGATTATGTCGGTAGATTTCGTTAAAGAAGAGATAAAGAAATAAATCATACTATACGACAATATCATTCGTCTATTTCACATGGCCACAGTATGCGCTTTGTTTCGACTATAAGCGCTTATTATATTTAAATATACACTGCATTGCACGGTTTCTTTCATCAGTCCTGTTTGTTTTTGAGTCATTACCTTTTTTGGATAAATGGGCTTCTTCCTTTCGTAATTTCATCAACAACGAGTAAGTATATCCACATCGCTGTCTCTTTTTTCGACGTATGGTCCCGTTTTCTTCGTCACGTCCTTTTAATCTGTGAAAAAACCAAATGATTATAAAAGAAGCTTCACATCTCATTTTCTTTCACTATTCTATTGTAGACTAAATAGAAGAGATATGGCAACGACTACTGACGTTAATACATCGGGTAATGCCACAAATGCTGCGGAAAATGCACCATCGAGAATAATCAAAATCAAGTCAAATGACGACCAAATTTTCGAAATCGACCAAGGTGTAGTCGAACAGTCTTCAACTATAAAAACATTGGCTGAATGTTAGTAAACATTTCCTTCTTTTCCAAGGAAGTGCTATTTTCAATGATTGTCTATTTCAGTGGTGGATGTTGGCGATGTACCTATTCCTCTACCTAATGTGAAGGCGTCCATCCTTGGTCCAGTTCGTATTGATTTCTCAATTGATTTTTCGTATCTATATCCGTTTTGATCGTGCTTTAGATTGTTGAATACTGCAACCATCACAAGAACGATCAAACACCAGAATCCACCGAAGAAGACGAGGATGACGATCCAAACAAGGATATCTACGAACCAAAACGGTACTAAATTTCGACCTTGTTAAGGACATATGTGAGCATTGGCTTTCTTCTTAGTTCCGACGATATCAGCGAATGGGACCAGAACTTTATCAAACAGTTTACCGTCTCCGAAGGTACACTATTTGATGTTATCATGGTACGTTCAAATTTGAAGTTTACTCTGCAATAGCTAGTTCGTCTTTGTTTTCTGTATAGGCGGCTAACTACTTAGGTATCAAAACATTGCTAGCTGTTGGTTGTAAAACAATTGCCAATATGGTTCGTGGAAAATCATCAAGCGAAGTTCGAGAATTATTTCACATTTCGTACGACCCACCTGGTGAAGGCATCAATGCTCCAGAAGCCATCGAAGGACAAGCAGGAACAGTTCCAACGACACAAAATCCCGATGCCACCGGCCCTTCACCGCAGCCAGATCCCATGAATCACTAGATCAACAGACTTTCGGATGAAATACAAACTGAAAAGAGTTCATTATGCGTGTGTGTGTGTGTGTATCTATGTCTAAGGAATATTTTTTAATACCCAACGGTTGTATTTTGTCATTAAAAAAAAACGAGAGTGAACATATGCTTGTAAATTTCGTTAGGTAAACAGTTATTTTCTATTGATCTAGATTTCATATTAAGAATAGCTGTAAATCATTTCGAAACCAACTAGATTTTTCCTCTATGCTCGTTCGAATAGGAACATGAACTTGGATGTTGATCGAGACGATTTTATTGTTTTAGATTGAGCGTTATTTAGATAATAGTTGAAAACACGGAATGACGACGACAGCAGCGGCAAGAACAAAAGAAAATGGTTGTGATTTTTCCTTATTCAAAACACCACTTCGTAATCCATTACGAACACCAGGTAAGTCACATCTCGACATGAAATTAGTGAATTAAATCGAACGAATTGATTTTCAGTACGTAATGGTATGTTATCCTCGGCAACATTGAACGACTTAGCCTCTTATTCCAATAATAATCCCAATAAACACTTGAAATTTGTCAACGCAACAAGTATGAATGATTTACAAATGTGTTCAGAATCTACAACGACACCAATTCGTTTTAATAAAAGCAAATTTGATACACCTGTTTCAACTCAACGTCGTCGCGCTTTAGGTTTAGTCAATCACAATAGTAATCATATATCTCGCGTTGTTTCAAGTGATGATTTCACCCGAATGAATGCACAAAAAAATGTGAATACTAAACAAGAAGAGCCAATCTCGAAAACGGCACCTTCTCATCCGGAAGATGATCTTCCACATGTGAATCACTCAAATCAAGATACATTCGATGATCTTATTCCAATGGACGAACGCATTGAACATATGATTATGAAACAAACGAATGGTGTCAATATGTTTTCTTACTATGGTGGCTTGGAAAATACAATTCGCTGTCAATCACCTGTGTATACTCGTGTTGATGTACCAACTTTACTCGATATGATCGATATTCTCAATTAGATGTGTGGACGTTTTTTTCTGTTCGTACTAACTCTCAGGGTTTTCTCTCAACTAAATTCACTTATTTTCTCAGTTTCGGATAAACAAAATATGTTATGTACAGGTTTTTTTACTTGGTTTGTGTATATGTGTCTTCGATTCTACTTGTTTCTATGTATGTGTCTGTGTAGATGTTGTGAAAAGAAAAGAAAAGAAAAGAAAGGAACCAAAACGAATAAACCATATAAATTGTAGAAGTAAACGAATAAAAGTGATTATTGTTTCGAACGAAAGGTAAACGACATTCGTTTCGATGTAAGAGAAAGGATTGGATTTACCAAGGTCTCACTAAATGATGGTATGCGAACGGAGGTGGAGTAATCGAAGAGCGTTTCAAACGTTCGACTACGTCGTAGTGGGTGAAGTGTTTCATTAGTTTTTTTGTTAGACGGACTTGTTAGGAAGATAGATGAAGGTTGTTGATTTGTTAAAGAAAATACACGTAGTTGAGGATGAACATCCGTGCGAGACCAGTTAATAGATGAGGGACAACGTGCAAGAAATGTTGTGCTTGTATTCGCTTGACGAATTACTGACGATGGTCGCGAAACATGTATTGGCGCTTTGCCAGGCAGGATTGGTAATTGAATCAGCTTTGAATTATCTAAGAAAAGGAGTAGACATGCATTCTCTCGACTTCAAGTAATAATCTGCAGATATATACTCATCATGGGAGGAGGATTAGCCTTTCTCATCGAAGAGTATTTTCGTAGAAAAGAACTAATCGGTTTTGAACTGTTCGATCTCGGTGTAACGACTGGAGAAGGGTTCGAAGGCACCAATTTTTCGACAATCTTGAAAGTATTAGTCTCTTCATTGTAAGATGATGATATTGTTGGATAACAACTAGTTCGTTCCTGATGCGATGCAACCGGTGGTTTTGACTGTACAGGATTAGTGAGAATTGGTAGAGTTTCGACGACATCGATTTTCGTTGTTGATGTTGTTTGATCAACATTTTCATCGTCATTATGAGGCTGTGTATTGGGCAACCAGATTTCCAAGGTCAGCTTTTGTTTAATATCGCCATCAGTTGAACACATTCCTGTATCATAAGGTTTCTCCAGCGATGGATGGAATGAAGGATGTTTTGTCTCTGTGCTGACATTTTCATTAGCGGAGATTGAAGGAGATGTCACATAAGTGCAGCTGGGAATCTGAGAATGTCGTGTAGAGAAGCGCGCGGAACAAATGGTAGGGTCGTCGGTATGACGAAGAGTGGAGAGCGTGCGAAAATGTTCGGCTTTCGACCATTGACTAACTGGACTTGTGAACATTTTCCCAGTATTCTTCGTTACAAAGAATTGCGATATCAATAGGGGGAAGCTCAACTTGCTGCTATATTATTTTCACTTTTATTTAAGTATTCAAATAAACCGGCTGGTGTCAGTGCAAGAAATTAACATAAAATTCAATTTGATGTTTTTTCACCTGAAGTATGTAAACACAGTTTGGTGTTTTCTCTCGTCATTCTTGTCGTTAATCATTTTTCATTTGAAACCTTTTCGAAAGAGTCAGCTCTTATAGTATATGTCAATACAAAACATGTCTCCTGTTTTGTTTATTTTCATCATTGCCAAATATAGAGCGCTAACGGGTCGAAATACTCATTGCAATGAAGACATCACAAGAATTGAATTTTGAAAAGATAACAACGCCTAACATACATGCGTTTTCGAACGTGATCATAACATTCAGGGAAATATTTTATAAAGAACAGGATCTGCCTTTTCTTAAAAACTCTTACTCTTTAGATAATTAAGTTTTTAGAAGGAATTTCTGTGAGAAGTATCACATTAAAGGAAAGATTGACATACGCTTGCCAGTTACTACCAAAAGCATGTATTTTTCTCATTGGTTGCTTTTTAATTTTTCAGGTTAGTTTCGCTTCGTGAGACAAAAAATAAAAGAAAAAAGCACATGAAAACTTTTTCCGCAGGTAAGGAGACCTGGTAATCAGTTCGCATAAACCCAAATCAAAAGCCACGTAACTAGTTACTTCATCGCAGGATACGATTGAAGTCCAGTACTTCAAGGTAAACAGTCGTGACATTTTCTTCGTTTCTACAGCTTGAAAACGCCCTAAAACGATTGTTTGATGTTATGAGTCATATGAAAAGCGTTATAAATGAATATTCAATCATCATAAGGGACAAACACAGAAATGCTAAGAACAAAAACAGCTTCGCAAGGTAAAAACTTGTAGAAAAGAAAAAGATATATTAATGGATCATGAATGACGAAGTATATTGTGTACAGTGAATAGACGAAAAGTGTGCATATGACGACGCATATTACTTGACTATCACGTAAGCGAATCTTATTTAGAGATGCTGTTTTTGATCAACCTATAGTAAAAAGTACTTTTTACCAAACATATCATAGAAAGCTAAGAGGTTGGATGAGTAATAAAAACAAATGTGCTTTTAAATGGAGCTAGTGGCAATGAATCGAATCGATTAGGAAATTTCTTTTCGTCGTGCTGAGTGAAACGGAGAGAAAAAGCCTAAGAGTCTTTTTTATGTATTTTCAGATGGAATTATTTACTTATCAACTACTCGTTTTCGTTTTAATTTGTACTGAATATGTGAACAATTATCCAACTGGAGCGCCCACAGATGCTTGTTCAGCAATGACACCCGGTCACGGATCTAATACTGCACAATCATGTTCAGCGATGTACACAATTCAAGCGGACAAAACGCAATATTACCCAAATGATACTGTACTTAGTAAGTGATTGCTTTATTAGGAAATATCGGTATTATTGAAGTGTACCTTATCGTCTAGTTACTGTGAGCGGTGCAACAGGCAGTAATACATTTCGAGGAATTTTATTGCAAGCAAGAACACTAAATGGTAATCAAATTATCGGAACTTGGACAGTCGTTGGCTCAACAACTCAAGCACTGGCTTGTAATAGTGTTACAAATTCAGCTATAACTCACAATTCTAGAGATGATAAAACGTCGGTACAAGCTATCTGGACTCCACCATCGACTATCACTGAGACGACAACAGTGATAAAGTAAAGCGAATTTTTCTTGTGAGATATTCTAAACAATCAGACGTTTAACAACGACTCTAGAGCAACGGTTGTTAGCGTATATAACACCTTTTTTGTCAATTGCTTTAATGTGACATTAACTGCCAAGCAAGTATGAGAGTGAATTGAATTTTGCTTGAAATAAGAATTTTGATTTGAATACTTTTTTAGGCGAATATATCTACAAATGCAACAACTGTTCGTATAACTGTTTCTTTTTTCATCATTCTAATTTGCAACTATTGTGCTATGTCATAGGTAGCAGCAAGTTCCACAACTGCTGTTGCTTCAACTACTATTACTACAACTACTATCCAACCGATTGTTGGCGTCCAGCTTGCTGTCAATTGGACGTACGCATCTGGCGTAACTTCAGTGAAAATGCAAATTACTAATTTACAAGCATCACAATGGTGTGCGTTCGGTCTGTCACTTGATAAAAATATGGTAAAAGAAAAAGAATAGGAAGAAATTCCTTGAATTCCAATTTCGATTTTGTATAGGGTGAAGATCATGTTTTTGTTTGTAAATATTTGTCGACATACAATGTAGTAGTAGAACGTCGTATAAACCCAGGTGGTTACTCTCCACCCGTTTTGGGAGGCGCAGGTGGTGTATTTAATAGTACAACACAGAAGGTTGAGAACGGTGTGGTTTCTTGTGAATTTACTCTTTCGGGTTTTACATCTTCGAAACGTCGCCGACGTGCAATAGCTTCACTTTCTCAAACAACATCTTACTATCCATTGATAGCCATCGGAAATTTAGATAGTTCGAGTAAGTCGATGAATAAAGTCGAAAAATAAAGCATTCGATTCACTTATGTTTAGATAATTTGATCCAACACACATCGGTTACAGCACTTTCGCAAACTGTTCAACTGAATCAAGCAGCATCGTTCAGTTACAATGCTGACGGTGGTGATTCCAGCAAAACTCCCCTAATGAAAGCACATGGTATCATCATGATCTTTACTTGGATACTATTTGTTTCAACGGGTGTCCTTATTGCTCGCTATTTCAAAACAGTATGGCCAGAAAGAAAAATATGTGGTAAAGCCGTGTGGTTCGCGATCCATCGTGCTGTTATGTTTAGTGTGGCGATCTTGACAATAATTGCTTTCGTTCTTATTCTTGTTTTTGAAAGCGGACAATGGATACCGCGAAATGAAACACGAGAATTTGCTCATTCAATCGTTGGAATACTTGTTATTTGTTTCGCCATTGTTCAACCAATCATGGCACTATTTCGTTGTGCGCCGGACGCGCAATACCGTTTTATTTTTAACTATGTTCATGCAACTGTTGGTTTCCTGGCATTCATTCTTTCAGTTGTGGCAATATTTATTGGAATGTTTCTATCCGCAATTAATCCTGATGGCAATAAACGATGGGGCATTGTATTAGCATGGACAATTTGGCTACCGGTGATATTTGGTTCATTTCAATTTGTAGAATTCTACTTTAAACAGCAAGAATCAAGGCAAAGAACTACAAATTCCTATGATTTAAGCAATACAAATGGACACGCAATCTCGCCAGATCAAACAAAAGAGATCGAAAATAATCCAACAAGAGATCGTATCAAGATTATCCTACTCGTTATTCATATCCTAGTAGCATTGGGATTAGCATTGGCTTTGGCTATTCTTGTTGGCCAAATATAAAGTAAATAATATTCTTTGGTGAACAAAGTATGCTTATATTTATATAATATTCTTTTGCTTGTACCATTTACTTTACTTAGAAACAATAAATAAATTATAAATTGATTGAAATTACTGTAATTTTCTCAACTAATGTCATATAAGGAAGACATCACAAGATCACCGAGTGTAATAAAGTCATTCAGTTTAAAAATAGTAGTTCCGCCGTTCAATTTTAATAAAACCATTTCATTGTTTTTCTCTGTCGCTGCACTTTTTTTGTTCTCTCTATATTTGTCGTAAAAGAATATGTTCAAGTTCACATTTTGTATCTAGTTACAACATAGTAGAAGGTATGCGATGTTGCTCAGCAACATTTCTTCTTTCTCTTGTAGTTTCCTTGCTGTCACTATCGCCAGAGACTTTTTTAATCGTCGTTTGACAAGAAAAAGAAAAGGTAATTATGGTTTCTTCTCTCCTTTCTGTATGATTGCACATGAGAAAGAAAAATTCGATTGAAAATTAAATTGTGAAAAAAGAAAAGGAAACCAAGAGAAACGCTACTCGCCTCTTCATTGCCTAGTAACGAAAGAAATCCGACATAAAGTGTAGCAAAATTGAAAAATTAATAGAGGCCGGCGCCTAGTAACCATATAAACTCCAAACGATGCTTTCGTTGAATAGCAACCAATTGCAGTCCCCACAACACTTTTACCAACATTGGTTGTATTCGCGACTTTTTATAAAATCATTTGGATATAACATTATTCAAAGGCAAACGTACTCTTTCAGATAGAAGGCTACTGTTGTTGAAATCTATCACCAATGGCTACATCTGCTAATCGGGGACACAATGGTTATGGTAATTCATTCCTTGAAAAATACCGAACCGATGGAAATTCACGCGGCGGGTAAGATATCGTCACGATAAGACAGGTGACGCAAGGTAGAGAGGTTGATAACATAATCGATCGGCACACATATGTATCGTCTAAGTTTTTCAAGGACAATCAGCCCGTGCGCCTGTTTTTATTAGTTAAACTTAGAAAACGAAATTCCCTTTTGCTTTCTATAGCGACTCAGCTTATGATCCAAAGTAAGTCGTAGTAATGCTCATACTCTAATCTCACAGTGCTTAAACGTAGAAGTCACATTTTAATTTTCAACTGTTTTTGATTTAGTTGTAGTCAGTGTAATACATCTAACAGGTAAAAAAGTATTCAAGACCAAATATCTCCCGCTTTCCTGCTCTTAAAATTAGTAGATACTTTTCTCTATGAAAAATTGATGAGCATGAATAATGAATAACATTCTTTCCTGTTAATTAGTAACCAACAACGTAACAATTATGTATCGACATCACAACAATGGCAAAGCGGTAATGGTAATGTTGATACAACAACATTACGTGCTACAGGAAACGTCATTCATGATGAACGTTTCGGTAACGAAATTCTTGCTCGTGCTGGTCCAAGTCATCAATACCAACGCCCGGAATATCGTACTCATGAAGGTATAAAAGATTTCAAAGTAATTCTTTGACGACTATTCGTTCTTTTTACTGTTCAGTTATTGCACCTGATGCT